TATATATATATATATGACATATTATGCTTTTTAAAGAAGAACATGATCCACACAACTCATTATTCTGACATTCACAAGTATAACACTAAAGGAAAACAGGATTTGTATGTATAAACATGCAACAGTGTTTGTTGCGAAATAAGTGTAATTAACATGCGAATTAAAATACATAACAGCTTGCAACCTGAATTAAAAAGAACAGAAATTGTTAAGGTTTTTAAAAATAAATTAGAAAGTTATCTACTACAAGTGTTTTTATTCTCTGCAGGAGTTCTTTTTCATGTTAGGTGGGTCCCTTATCACCACGGCATGGTGCATCCTCAGGTTGCAGATGGAGGAGACGCCCTCTAGTTATGGAGGGAAGCTGCAAATATATTGAATAAGCAGTCGCAGACAGCAGACAAAGGGTGGTCCTCCAGCTTGGCGGTTGGGCATGGGGCTGGCCATGTAGTATGAATGGGGAGAAGAGGAATGCATATAGGATATTGGTGGGAAAGCCAGAAGGAAAGAGACCACTGGGAAGACCAAGGCATAGGTGGGTGGGCAATATTAAAATGGATCGTGGAGAGATAGGATGGGATCGTATGGATTGGATTGGTCTGGCTCAGGATAGGGAACATGGTAATGAACCTTCGGGTTACATAAAATGCTGGGAAATTCTTGAGTAGCTGCAGATATGGTGGCTCCTCAAGAAGGGCTCAGCTCCATAAGTAAGTTATTAAGTAAGTAAACAAGCAGAATTTTTTAATAACAACGATGGATGGTAGTTTGGTAGCTTGGGTTGGTTCTGATGTGGTGTGGTTGTATATAGATGGTATAAGTTAATGTGCTGCTTTATATTGGATTGTTGGGGGATGTCATCCTCAGTTGCTAGCTTCAGCTGGGGGACAGTGATCCTAAGATGACTGTATTATTCATAATCTTGTGCACCATTTTGCATATTTTTAAGAGTTGTTGACTTGTAGTGTTTTAGATGGCTTAAACTGACTTGTCCAATTGTACCTGTGTAACAGTTTATGGATGTAAATAAATTATGAATTATGAACTACTGTATTGATCAGATCTTTATGATTTTCCAAAACGTCACCAGGCAAATGTAAGAAGAACGTTTTCACACAGATTATATCTGGGTCCTTTTAAGTTGTAAACAACTCATTAATAACCATCATCTCTGTTATCCCAAACAACTTTACGTAGCCTTAACTTCACATACAAGAGCACACACTCACGGACATACAAACACACTCACAAAGTAACTAAAGTGATGCAGCAGGATGCTTAAATACAATATCATTTTAACTGGTTATTTAATAACGCATTCAGTGTCAAGACCACTGAATGTCAGACAATAGGATGATTAATCAGTTGGTAGCAGTAGTAGCCTAACTCAGGTACTATCCCAACATTTGCCTGGAGATGCTGTGGAAAACCATGAAAAGCTCAGTCAAGCTGATATTCATATGCGAACAATGCTATTTATCACACAACATACTGTGTACCATCAACTCAAACAAGATCTAGCAACACGTGGAATAGATTTTAGGGTTAGAAATTTGATAAATAACTGAAATTTGGGAGAGAGAATACACGTTTCTTTTGTCAATAGGTACTTTCAGATATAATATATGTGAGTACCAATATGTTCCCTCCTCAACAGACATAGATATGTGGGGCTAGAAACTGACATAGGCATCCTCTCTATTTTGTACCCATTCTAGACTCAACATCTGTGCCAGTCTTTTGCAACACTAGAAAGAAAAGGTACATTTGTGGAAACACAGTACCTCCTAAAGTTCTGAATTGGACAATCTTTATAGATGGCATCCTGTTGTGTGAACAAACTGATCTAACTGCCATGTTCCGTCTATATAACTCCAAAAATGTATACCCATTCAACTGCATATTAAAAATCACTACATATTTTGACTATCCAACTGGTCATCATCAGGTGATACAATACTTACAAGTGTTCCTGAATTGCAACCATTTTAACTAACATATGGGCCCATATTTACAATAGTTTCTGTCTACTATCTGTGTTGGATTCATTGATATAAATCATAAAAAATATACAATTTTACAGTTACTTAAGCTATACATCCCAAGAGTACACAGGTGAAGGACCATAGCCTAGTAGGCTAAGTAACACCCATCTACCTATTCCAAAGCATCACATGTATCACGAATGCTAATCAACACAGAGCTAACACGGGGAAGAAGGGACTACACCCTTACGGCGATTTTGACTAAGGCTATATTTCACCTAATTTTGCTTCGATATTATGTATGTAATTTACATTATAATGAAGCAACTTTATAATCTTATAATTTTTATGATTTATATCAATGAATCCAGCACAAATAGTAGACAGAAACAATTGTAAATATGAGCCCATGTGTTAGTTAACACGGCCGTAATTAAAAAACACTTGAAATTACTGCATCACCTGATGATGAACAGTTGGATGTTCGAAACATGCAGCAATATTTAATAAACAGCTGACTGGGAATAAGTTTTTAGAGTTGTGCAGATGGAACTTGGAAATTAGATCAGTTCTGAATTGGAATTCAGCTCTAATAAAAAGACTTGTATAAATAATATTATATACCACCTTTAATTATCTTTTCTTTATCCCAAGGTGTCATTGTATCAACAATGATACATTTTTGTCCTTTTATTAGTGTGGAAGTACAGTTTGCAACCATACCCTCTTCTCTTTTCTTGGAATACCCATTATACAACACATGAACCTCATATGCCATATGGTGATAAACTTGTAGTAGATATATTCACTCAAATAATGAAGGCATCCTGAAAAACAAAACCGATTTCTTAAATATCAACGACATTTATAAAAAACTATATATTTTAGGTTTCAACATAATTAAAACCAACCGTCCACTCTTGCTCTATCTGCACACATGATTATACTAAATTTAAACAATATTAAATAATCTGTTACTTGACTTTCTGTATTTCATCAGCAAAGGCAAGCTTATGGAATCATGACGTCTGTTCGTTTGAACGCTTATGGTAACATTTAGACTGTTTCGGGTGGTCAGTTCTCATTACACCTGTGCTACATTGCACCCAACCATGCCACTAATAACTCTGCTAACCTCAACAACCCTGAATGACCCCAAAGACATCACAGTACACCTTTTGTTAACGGTCTGATCTTGTGTTATATATCTTGATGTGTGAAGTAGGTGTGTCCGTGTGTGGTGATGTGTAAAATGTGTCTTTTAATCGGTTGATCAGGGTGGAGTGTATTTGATTTTAAGTGGCTTCTTTGCAAGTGGCCTTAATTTTTTTTTAATTCGCTTGGTGGGGGGTGGAGTCCAACTGGGTCCACTCGGTATGGCGACCCACTGATTGGCCTATTGTCGCCTGCCCCGAGTGGAATGAAGATTGGCAGGGGAAACCGAAGTACTCTGAGAAAACCCGCCCCAGCGCCACTTTGTCCACCACAAATCCCGGGATCGAACCCGGGCCGCAGCGGTGGGAAGCCAGCGACTAACCGCTTGAGCTATGGCGCGGCCCTACCAGTTGCCTTGAACAGAATCCACGTTTCCGCGCACATTACAGACGTACGTATAAGTAAGAGTATGAGGGTGAGCCATAAAACTGGCCCTCCCACTGCGACCTTCCATGATCTACTGTGCTTCCCTTTTGGATTAATATGACAGACGTACGTACGTATCAGTGGGGGTAGGTTTATGCTGGCACGTCAGTATGTTGGTAACCGGTATTTTACGCTTTTACATGATGAAAGCCACATAAGGTAAACTGTAAGATATAATGTCGAAAACACAGAAAGACTGCTCGTGTTCATCTCTTGACAGCTGCAAAAACTGTGTGACCGTGGTGTAAGTTGCGCATGACCCAATAAAAACATTAAATAAAAGAAAATCAAAAATACAGAAAACAGAATTTTAAAATACTCAAATAGATAGCCAGCATAAAGCCCACAAGATAAACCAAACAAAAATATTATAAAAAAGTGCCAAAGCTTGTCGCATGACAGTGGAGGTGTAAGCACGTGTGAACTCACCCAACCTAACCTATTAAAAGTCGATGTAAATGAGACGCTCAGGCCTGTGGTCCAGGACAGGGGGTTGAGGGGGATGTAACTGGAATAGGGGGAAGGGAAACATGCAGAACACCCATCTCTCTTCAGCTGCATGAACTAGATAGTCTGGAAATGACTGGAATCGATCATTATACACCTATCGCAATTAATCGAATCGCACAAGTGTAAGCCAATGAAGAATGTAGCTCTAGATCGCTCTAGATGATAGCGATAGATAATCGAGAAGTAAGATTGGAAATGTTATATGATACAGGTTGCTTATTATCGGACAGACGACCAATGTGCTTATCAGAGGCAAGTAGAATGTGTGCGCAGTGAGGAGCATGGCCCAATTATTACTAGCTATCTGCTCATCTTTAATAAGTTCCTGTCAAATCTGTAATGGTGTGTACAATATGTGTTTCAGTGGGTGCACGAGGGAGGAGTGGACTTGATTCTACGTACGTGGTATGCGCCTACTGTTCAGGAGAATCCACGTTCTCCCAGATATCATTATGGGTCTGAATATGTGAGTTCCATTTGTGTGCTGGCACCATGATCTGCAGGTAAGAATGAAATAACTACTTGTGTTGTACATGACTGGAGGCTAAATGTGGTAAGTTACATATTTAGAAAGACAAAAAGAAAGTACGGTCAAAACTATGTGTTCATATCTCATGAAACAGGGTAGTGTGTGGAAGAGTGGTAATTTAACTTCAAGATTATGTGCAGTTCCATAAACCTCCAGTGTTATTTACCAGATGTAAACCAGGCCAGTCTTCAGGAATACTGAGCACTGTGAGGTATAAAGTTTTGTAAGTTTTAGCTCCTTGGGAATTTTGATCAGTTGGATGTGTGCAAAATGTTTATGACAGCATGAGCCTGCAGTGACTTCATCATTGATATTATGCCCCAGTTGTTATAACCTCAGGTAACTGAACCAGGCCCTTCCCTGTCCGAATGCACAGTGATGTGAATCATGAACCCAATGTGGCAAGTTTTGTCTCCACCATGCTGTATTAGGTTACTGTAGGAAAATAAAAGTTTTGTTGGTGTGGGCTTCTGTGGCATAGTATTCATACCATGTAAACGAATTTCACTTGAATCCACTGGTATTATTATTTGTGCCCTGTTAGTGAAACATGTAGGTTGTACAGTTGTGTTTCTTGTGTTGTCGCACATTTTGGAGGATGATGACAGTGTGTGTAGTGTGTAGAATTTGACTGGATTTCTTTAGACTTGATTGAGTTTGATGCTAGTTATGTAGAATATTCTAGTGAGAGGAACAAAGTAAGTATTCAGTGGCAGGTTGAGCTGTGAGGTTAACTGGAGTATGTTGGACAGATTACCCTCGTCTTGATTAATGTTTATGAAGCATGTGATTGAGCATCTTATCATCCCATAACTGTGCAGAAGTAATGCTGAAATTTGGTTTAATGGAATGAATTTAGACATCAGGTATTAATATTGTCCCTTGATATTACTGGAAATGCACTCATAACATTGCCTAGTATTTCCATTCTGTTCTACTTGTGTGAAGATTATATTCCTCTTAATGATTATGTGTGCTTATACGTAACATCTGTGAATGCAGTTGTCCCCAGTTTTTGTTTATATTAGAGACATGATTACTGCTTGTTGTGGTCCTAAACCTTAGCGAAAGCATTAAGTGACTGAATGTTAAGAAGCAGTGCTGCGGCAGCAGAATGTGAAGGTTGAAAGTCACGGTCACAGAGATGTTCGTTGGATGTAATGTATAGCCAGTTGAATCGACCTGTAATCCAAATATCTACTTATTGATACCTCCTGTTTTAATCTTATTTTGCCATGAGGTGTTCCATCTTGCAAGGATCCACTTTCCAGGTTTCCTGAAGTGTCAGAAATTCTGGGTGATATAGTTAGGTCAGTGTCCTGAATTGCTGCGATTTGATCCTTCTTAGGTTTAAATAACTTCCTAATAATTTTGTTTGTCTTGTGATGAGTAGGTAATAAACGTGTGGCACCATGGAGTTAGGAGTTGTGATGAATAAGAAATATTAATGTCTGTGAACCAAGTTAGAATGGTTTATGTTATGGAGCATGGTGGTTTCATTCTGTTAGCTTCGGGTGTTTGAGTTGCATTGCACGCAATCCTTTTAATCATAAGAGCTGTAAGGACCCTATTAGAGAAGGCGAAGTAGTAGTGTTCTAGTATCCAGCGCTGTGGTGCATGAATCACAGAGTTCCATATAACGTTAAGGATGTGGCCTCACATACATTCTTGCTCTAAGCATGATACCGCGTAGAATTGATTCCACTTCAGTTTTCTTATTGACGACAATTTCAGGCTCTTCGTGAATGAGTGTTTCACATTCATAAGGCTCACCATACTACTTCAGTTATATGATACATATTAATGTGATTGATAAGGTTCACACTACGTGAATTTGTTCATTGTAAAATATAATGTTAATTTCCAATGGATGCATCCTGTTGTGTTAAATATATAAATTTCTTTATTAAATCCAACACAACAAAACTGTTGATATTTAACAGTACTTTGCTACATGTTTCGGGTTTTTAGAAAGTCATCATCCATCAGGCAAATACACAATTATCACGTTGCAAAGCTATTGATTTGCACACTATACATTTCAGTACAGTAGTATTGCATTTTTGACAATATACCATGATATAATCCGCAATCAGCCTTTCTTCCAGACGGGACATAATACACGTAAATAGAGGTACCCGTCAAATATTATTATCTATATATTACTTCCAGTTATGAAAACCAGATAATACTGCTCTCATACCAACAGGCGTCCAAGCATTTTAATCACTTAACGCTTGTATAAGAGTAAGAAAACTATTGCCATATGTCCGCAAGAGCACTATGGCTTAAACGTTACGATTGCAACAACTTCCCTTAATCTTATCTCATTTGAAATCTTTACCCTTTTTTGTATTTTATGTTTTATATTATTATATTATGGGATACTTTTGAAAATCCAACACTACTCTACTGAATTATATAGTATGCAATTCAATAGCTTAGGAATATGTTAATTGTGTATTTGTCTGATGGATGATGACTTTCTAAAAAGCCGAAACATGTAGCAAAGTACTGTTAAACATCAACTGTTTTACAGATGATAAAACAATTCCATCCAGTGTGACTGTTGAAGCTTTTACTACTTCACTTCTTAGCACCTTAACATGTTTCGGTCCCTATAGACCATCATCGGAGGGAACATCAATACTTTTAGAAACTACTATTACATTGGGTGTTTTGATTTTTAAAATACAGATATATACAATATTTGTAATATACACTTTATACAAAGTCCAATGTAATAGTAGTTGCTAAAAGTATTGATGTTCCCTCCGATGATGGTCTATAGGGACCGAAACATGTTAAGGTGCTAAGAAGTGAAGTAGTAAAAGCTTCAACAGTCACACTGGATGGAATTGTTTTATCATTTGTAATATTGTTAGTGTGACAGACCAGAATGAAACAAATCAAATTCATCAACTGTTTTGTTATTGTGTTGTTACAGATTTTAATAATAAAAATAAATTTATATAATATTAATCTCCATGTGAAGGTAAGTGTATTTTAGTATCATAAGATTGGCATGTCGTGCAGCTTGAGTTGCTTGACTGTTTTTATATGATTAATGATTATTAGTGTCGTGAACAGTGAGTGAGTGAATGAGTGAGTGAGTAAGGTTTATGGTGGCTTGTTATATTATGATAAGGTATGATTAGGCTTGGTTTGTTTTTTGTTGTTGATAGCAACTTACTGAAAGGTAAAAATGTTGTCATTTAATATTGGGAACTTTTGAAGATTATTTCATGTCATAAGACCACTTATACACTGAAATGTGTGGAGAACTATATTGTGACGTGTGTAATAATTGTATAGTATTCTCATATTGAATGATATTGTTGAAACATTTAATAGGTACTTTAGTGGTATAGCGGATAATATACGTAAATACATAAAAGGAAATGGTAAAAATATTAAATCGAAAACTACTAATTATATGACATACTTGACTGATGCATTTGAGAGTCCACTACCTAGCATAAAAACTATAAAAACTACGAGTAGGGAAATAGAAAGGATTATATGGTCCCTAAAATCTAGTCAAACCTATGGATATGATGAAATTTCGAATAATATACTCAAAGCCTGTAAAATCTTTATTAGTGAACCAATAAGTTACTTATGTAACAGAACTATGCATGAGGGTATTTACCCAGACAGACTAAAATATGCTACAATTATGCCAATATACAAAAAAGGTGATAAAAACCTAGAATCAAATTACAGACCTCTATCCATATTGACATCTATTAGTAAGATTTTTGAAAAGGTAATGCATAGTAGATTGT